TGGAAGAGGTAAAATCCTCCAGGACCTGTCAGCTCTCCCTCTGCCTGCAACTGTGAGCTGAAAGCAATGACCTCTCTTCACAGTGGATTGAAGCTGGGTCTTTAAGATTTTTTTTCCTGCCCTCCAAGGCTGGTGGACTCGCAGTAGATTGTTGCTGAGAGAAAGAACTACATTGTGATGTGCTGAAAAAAGAATTCTAGCTTCTTCCCAAGGGATGGGGTGTGCATCTGAGACTTCAAGTGTGACAGTAAGCCTAGTAATGGGGATGTGGATGTCCAAGGTGGGAAGCATGAGGATAAGAGGTGTCCTCACTGTTCTCAGCGATTTCAGCTCCACAGTACAAGTGAATCCTGCTGCTGGGTGTGATAAATAGGTAGACTAGAAAGCCAACCCACTGTTGGAGTTGTGTGAGGCATATGGACACTGTGTTATGGGGAGTGGCATGGTGTCCATCACAGGATGGACATGGGCACCAACTGGTTCTGATTCTTAAAGGTTTTGAACCTGCCATTTGAGACACATAGTTTTTTGTTGTTGCTGCTTGTCCTCGGCCTCTGCCAGGATAGCCCTCCCAAAAGGAGAAGTAAAGTTCTCACATTTGGTTCATCTGACAACCAGAAAAGGAATCCTCCAGTCTGCTGTCTACAGGCTTCAGAAGGAAGGAAGCCAGTGGGATAAGTCTTTCTGATGGCAAAGTCTCAACAAGAACAGGGAACGAGGCTGCAAGTTCCGGTCTGAGTTAGGAAGCCCCAGCAAGGGCACATTCAGTGTCACCAGTGAGGAATGGAGCACATGCCTGCTCTGCTCAAGCAGAGTGAATGCCCCTTTCCTCTACCTTTCCCTTGTTTTCTCCGTGCACTGCGGGTTCTCTGCACTGTGGAGGGCAATACTTGCGTTGCTCATTGGAATGAGAAAGGCTTGGAAGAACCCCTCCCAAACATACCTAGAGATAAGGTTTTACTACCTATGAGGCAGCCAGGTGTTCACATGCAATTATGCACCACATGGATCATGAAGCAAAATTCCAGAACAAATAAGAAGTTTGCTTCAAAATAAAGATCTTTATGTAACTGTCAGAACATCCTATTTTTTTTTTCTTTTTTTTTCTTTTGGTACCAGGAATTGAACTCAGGACCTTCCGCTTGCTAGGAAGGTGCTTGTGCCGCTGAACTGTATCCCTAGCCCCATCCTAAGTTATTGAAAGACTAAAAATAATTCTTTTTAAAAACAGAGAACATACAAAAGAAAACACAAGCAGGACAGGATCAGCATCAGGCAGCAGGGGCTCAGCATGGTGGCCTTGGAACTGGATCTTGCTATAGCTGGGGTGGTGGCTGGTGCTGGAATGGAAACGGGAGAGTCAGCTTTTGTCCACACCCCAAATCCGAGGAGCTGCCTCCTCAGCTTCAGCTACCTCAGCTAAGCCAGCAGTGCAGACAGCTTCCACCCCTCTGCTCTGAGGCAGCCGCTGTGACAGGTCCTGAGGTGGTTAGAGAAGGAGAAGGAGGACATATTTAGGCACGGAGCCGCCAGAGTAACGGCGTGACCAACCCACCCTTGCTGGTGGCAGAAGAGGAAGGAACCCTGGTGAGAGTGGTAGGGAACGGTCTTAGGAGCTGATGTGTGAGGTGGTTTTGAAAGAGCTGAAGAAAGCGACCGGTGAGATGAAAAAGAAGCTGATTCTCAGGGAAGGCCTGGCAAGAGAATGATGCTTACAGCATGGAGGTCAGCAAGAAATCCACCGTGGGTGGATCACAAGCCTGGGCAGTGAGCAAGAGACGCTAGGAAGGGACGAGGGAAAAGATGCAAAGAATATACTTGGCAATGTTTCCCAGGAAGATAACACTCCAGATCATTGTAGATGGAGTATTTACACACGTACACATGCACACATACATGCACACGCAGAAGGGAGCACCTCATCCAAAGGGAGCCACCTCTTCCCACTCCTCTTCCTGGTTACCTCTGGTCTCCAGAGTTTCCTTCCAGTGCTTCATGAATGCTTTCAACCAACTCCCACAGTCCCCCATTGATGTCCTGTATAAGAACTGGAACAGCTCCACGTTATTCTTCCACTTCTCTTTCATGCACCCCCATCCATGGAAAGCCTCTGTCTACTTTCTTTGGTTCAAGTCAACATGGAGCAAAGTCTGCCCACTGCAGCCAAACTCCCAGGGCCCACTGAAGTGTCCTAATATTTGTCTCATCTTTGCTTTTGAGGTAAACCTTCATATCCCAGTCATTGGTGGTGATTTTTGCCACACACACACTGTGTGAACTCATGGATTCCATTTCCATGGAACAGCGGACTTTTGCTGAGTTTGTCCTGCTTTACTGATGGGCGTCATGGGTACTTGCCGATGGTTGGGCAGGTCAGGACTTAAAGTCCCACGCACGTGGCCCCCAGCAGTCTGGCACTCTGTTTCTCCTGGAGTCCGTGTCAGGTGGGTGTTGTGACGACAGGCTTGTGCCTATGGCCACCTTGGTAATTTTGTGTCTGTGTGTTATGGCTTGAATCTTTGTGGTGAGTGGACCTTACCTCCTGCCCTAGCAGGGATGTGGGATGTCACAGCACCAATCCCTGCAGTGCTCTCAGTGGCTGGAACACAGTCATTTGTACCTGAAGTGGCCCAAAGGGCCCCACCTGCATGTCAGTCCATGTACCATGGGTGATTGTGCCTATGCCAAACTTCTAATGGCACCAACTTCCCTCTGTGACCTGGGACCACTGTCCTTTGGGCATCAGTATCTGAGAGACCAGTCAAAGCCTAGCCTCCCCTCCCTTCCACCCTCCTAGGAGTGCAGTGTCACACACCCCAAAACCTTAATGCCCTCTACTTTCTTTTTGAGGGAAGTCAGAGTGCATATGAGGACAGTCCTCATCTAACTGCCGTGTTCTCTGTCTCAGTTGTCTTTGCCATTCTAGTGATGAAGCAGGGGAGCTTCGAAGCTTCACCATCCTTTTCCACACTGTGTTCAAGGATTTTCAGTGTCATAGGTGAGGAATGAAGCAAATGCATGGCTCTGCTCAAGCAGAGTCAATTTGCCTTTCCTGTCTTTTTGTTCTATCAAGGCCTGGGAAGGATGTGATTTTTCTCTACATTGGGGAGGGCAATCTTCTCTCAGTCTAGTGATTCAAATGAGAATCTTCTAGCAAGCCCCTCCCAAACACACCTAGAAATGATGTTTTACCAGGTATGAGGCATCCAGGCAGACATATAAAATTATGTACCACATGGATCATACAACAAAATTCTAGATTAATGAAGATGTTTGTTTCCAAATAAAGACCTTTATTTAAATGTCAGAAGATAATAGGTTATGGAAAGCATGAGTAAAAATGATTTAATTCTTTTTAATATAGAGAACATACAAAGAATCCTTGAATTGATGAAGATGAATATATTTTAGTGGCAGTATCCATCCAAAAATACAACTTGGTTTTTGGTTCAGAGGAGCATTTGACCACATAGGACCAAAGCAGAAGACAGAAATTCTCTTTGTTCTGACTTCTTGTTCCAATTTCTTGTTCTAAGGTTAGAAACCTTAGGGAAAAGATCTTTATTTAGCACCAAGATGAAGGGGCTTCACATATTAAGAACAAGTACATAGTGGTATAAGCAAAGTACCACAAAGGGCACGAGATGTTCAAGTGCGAGTAACTTCCTGGAAATAATTGGACCCTGAGATGCAAAGAAGCACTGGAAGGCACTGAAGCAGCAGGGGAATGGGCTGCCATTGGTCAGGAGAGATAAAGCTGTCACAGAAGAGTCCAACTCACGCAGCCCTCGGGGGTGGGCTCAAGATGGCCCTAAGGGAGTAAGTGGAAGGCCTGCTGATTCCTCCCTTCATCTGAAGTAGCGAAGGAGATCTAGGCCAGGAGGGCTCAAGGCTAAATGATTTGCTGGAGCCTAGGAATAGTTTCTGAAGGTGGGTGAATGCTTAGCAGAGGACCAGTCAAGAGAAGTATTTCTGTTGATCATATTTTCAGGAGCTTCTCTGGAACATCTTCCGACTTTGCAAAAGAAGGAAATGTTACTCCAAGAGTCTGAAGACACCCTGGGACAATTCTGCTGGGGGACCTATCCCCAGTCCCCTGACCTCAGATCTGCCCTCACTAAGGGTCATACAGTTCCCTCTCTTGCCCTCTCAACCCCTGCCCCTAGGAGCCTGCAGCAACCTTCTCCTCTTCTCCATCCCAGCATTATCCCCGTGTCCTGCTGAACACTGGAATGACTCAGGACGGAAGCTGTTATTATGGGACTGGCTACCTGACCACAGACTGCTTCCCCTTCTCATGGAAGGGGCTAGAGGACTCGGAGGGGAGGTGGGACAGTCTAATTTGGAGCTGGAGGCTTGGATCCTGTGGGCTACAGGGGGTGCAGGCAGACGGACGGACATCCTCCTCCTTTTCTCTCCTCACCTGGGACTCACACACGAAATCCCACTGCAGTGTCATGGCTCCATCTTACCCATCCCCTGTCCGCCTACCTGGGAGTATGGACTCCAGCCTCAGCTGGGACCCTACTGGCTCTGGGTGCAACTCTGCTGTAGGCAGGGAAGGCAGAGCTGGCTCAGGAGCTGGAGTCTGCAGGAGCAGCCAGAGGAAAGGTCTCAGAGAACCCTGGATTTCCTGTAGCCCCCAG